TACAGTGACCAGTCAGGGTGCTGGTGTGAACAGGACCAGTGAGGACTCGGGTACAGTGACCAGTCAGGGTGCTGGTGTGAAGAGCAGCCACTTGGGGCACAAAATCAAAGACACATCTTAGTCAAAGCAAGTAGTTCGGCTCCTGGATAGCAAGGCTCCTGGAGAATTCAGGGAAATAATAAGATACTTTAAATAAATGTTTAAACCCTAAGTGTAGATTCCTGATAGAAAACACATGCAAAGAGAGCTATTTTTGAGCCAAAGAGAAGGGTCTACAGTGCCTTCTTTTGACATCCTTCATGCTGATATTGGAGGCACAGCGTGATATTGCTTGAAAGACAGTACAAAGTTACATTATATAAATTTCTTTTTGCACAGCCTTTCAAGGGTCTTTTGCTTTGTTTTGTTTTATAAGATGAATAAGGAATAATATTTCATTACCTGTAAGATAAACTCACTCTTTTAGGTTTTTAGTTTGTAGAATTGCAAAGAAAGAAAGACACAAGTGTAAACATGGATAGAGTTATCACAAATTGTGAGATTGGGGATTCTGAAAACTCAGAGTTCATCTAGTTCAATTATCTCATAACTGCTGATGAGAAAAGTGGAATTCAGGTGGGAAAGTTGTCTTGGAAAAGGTCACGCAGCTAATTAGTGGAAACAGAGTCCTGGAATGAGAAAATGACTCTGGGTTCTTCATCTCTGCCAAGAATTTCTGGAGTTCATGAATTTACATTACTGCTTTTTAAAAAAATAATTTTGCATTTTCATATTTAAAAAGCATTCTGTATGCCTAGGTCCCCTGGATAATCTCTTACTTCTATAGTTCATCTGTGATGAATCCTTCCTTTGTGAGGAATTTACCAGTACAGGTGAGCCACATACAAGCACCTCATCCCACACCAATTAGCACTATATTCGCAGGGCAGTAGACTATGCCACAAGGGTTCTGTCTTTGTACATATTTGTTCAAAAGCTAAGAGGGAATGGAAAATTCTTTTTCTACATTAATCCCAGCAGTCACCTGATTTGATACTCAGCAATGAAGGTGTGATGCAAACTTTATCTTCAAATTAACAAGACAGTTTGGCGAAGTCACGGCAAAACTGACATTTAAGACAGCTTCTTATTCCTGAGCAGAATTTTAGATAAATAAGATGTCTGAGTAGCCACAGTTGAATGAAAACTCCCACGTTTAACATTTAACACTCCCGTGTCCAGCATATTATTGTTCTCTATATTAATATTAGGATAGGCAAAATGCTGAAGCAATACACATGGCTCTTCCTGTGAGCATATTCAATACTGAAGTTTTCATTGATGAAGAAACAACAGTTCTGTAAATTTATCCTGTTTAAATTTTACTAGTATCATAGCTTTTAAATCTGAATTTGTGAAGTGTTCTTGTCTTGTAAGAATAAGCATAGCTAACTTCCTAATGTATATGTAGTTTAAAACATTGAAATAAAAATAACACAATTCTATACATGGAAAAGAAGATGTTTCCTGTAACTGAAATGTCTGACCTTCTGAGAACCATTGCTAACTGCACAGTTTCCTCCAAGAAGGCGGTTACTCAGTGACAGCATCGGAGGAGAATGCTTAGGCCTTCCATTTCAGAGGCCCAGGTATTGGCTCTGACTCTGGTCACGACTGTATATGCTCACTTAGGTCATTTGACCTCCCTTCTCCTCAGTTTTTCATTGGCATGTAGGAGATTGCAGGACTAACAAATCCTTAATACTTATTGTAATAAGTAGAATAATTAAGTGAAGTGTTAAGTGAAATAGGCCAGCTGCTTATTTATAGGAAGAGTTGGTGATATTCAATAATTCAGGAAATATGTGCCCTTTATTCAAAATTATTGTATTTAGAATTGAACTTTTATTAGCACAACACACACACACACACAATCACATGCACACACATGCACGTGTGCATACACACACAAACAAACAATAAACCTGTGGCTGTAATTCCTTCTAAAAGTTGCCAGTTTGCACTTCCAGAGGAAGTATCTTGAGAGCACTTTCCCAGCTCGGAAGCCTGTGAAGACTCTGAAAGGAGCTGAAGCATCTACACAGCCTGTGCAAAGTGGTCATGACCAGGAGGCTTGAGTGTATTCTAGTCTCTTCTCTGTACGACATTACAGCACCCTATATAAGGCTAACAGAAGGAAGGGCCTGGGAAAGACATGATCAAACTGAGCTGGGAATGGGATACAGAAAGGAACAAAGTGAATGAAAGATCCCTCATGGTCCCAAGTCTACCAGCCAACATTCTGTCTGGATCATAATCCCCATTCTGTTACCTAGTATTACACTCCTGACCCAAGCTGGAGAGGTAGTCCCAACCAGTAACGCCAGACACTGTGGAACAGGCACTGTGCCAGAGCTGGAGAGTGTTCTAAAACCATGTTCCTGTTCCTCCTTTCATTAAAGATTGCTTTTGACTGATTGTTTTTCATCAATGTGTTTTAACTTTCAGTTTACTCCGGGTGTTATTGAGAACTTGATTCTAATTACAATCAGAATGTTAGATAAAGCATTTGATATTGCGTGGGCTTTTTATTTTAATTTTTTAGCATTGAGGAGAATTAGTGATAATATTTTGAATTGATTGTTGTATTAACGGAGTCAATAAGATTTCTGGTATCTATTCTAGCATTTGGAAGGTGTATTCCAGAGTTGTACAGACTAGTTTCTAACTCTCTTAATAATAGAATTTAACACATCCTCTGTGTCTAATCATAGTCATTGTTAATGCTGTGCACAAAATAAAAGTAAATGTCACACTTTGATTCATTTTGTAAAGTCTCATAAGAGAGATGTTTGAATTCAGGTACAATCTTTGAAGACTTTAGATACTGTCATAATTACGCTGTTATTTAAAAACAGCTTTGAAACCAAGCAACAGATGATAGAGTGAGGAATTAAAGGGAGCAAGAATGAATCTTTCCCTCGTAGGCGCCCATCTCATTTGTGATGTATTGAGAACATTTACTTTGGTAATTGGCTATTTCTTGATCATCACATTTTTCCGTATGTGTGTGTGTGTGTGTGTGTGTGTGTGTGTGTGTGTGTGTGTGTGTATACCACAGCACATGAGTGGAATTTGTGGGAACTGGTTCTCTCCTTTCACCATGTGGGTCCCAGAGTTGAAACTCAGATGTCCAAAACACCAACATCAGCACCCACTGAGCCATCTTATCAACCCACTTCCTGTTTGAAATGTTTTTTTCCTTATCCCTGTCCCCTCTTCCACCGCCCCGGGTTATTAGCCTGATCGTCACTGTATTATCTCTTCCTCCAAATCAACTGGCATTTTTAGGACAAGAGTACAGGTGTTTGGACCATGAGAGTGGCACGTGCAGCAGGGTTTGCCACGTTGTGCAGCCCTGGAGGACACATGTTGTTTCAGTGAGTGCACTGTGCATATAAGTATAAAAACATAAAACTTAACCTCTCCACACTGAATGCTAGCTGCTATTCAGTGACATTTATGAACTGGTAGGAGGAATCACATAATGGCAACAGTGGCATGGAAACTCAGCTTTTGGTAGTTCGCTTCAACCTGAATAGGTCTGAGCACCAACTCTGGTACCGAGTACAGCACCAGAGGAGAAAATAGTGCAGCTTTACCTGAGTTTCTGTCTTACAGGAAACAAGCAATTAAAAGTTCTTTGATATCCAGGGCCTGAGTTTTGTGAAGAGAGCAGTTGATCTCACACTGTCCCAGATGGTTTTCTATTGCTTTTAACTTTCACAGGTCTCCAACAAACCCATATCTGTGTGATGTGGTGAGAACGCCGTTTGCTAATTCAAAACATTTGTTTCTAGGTGCCAGGTTGACCTGTCGTCTCTCAGTAGGGAGCAAACCCACAAGCTGGAGTTACAGCTGGAAGAGGGTGAGGGCCACCTGGTTCTGCTTGTCACTCTGACAGCCTCGGCCACAGTCAGTATCTCCGACCTCTCTGTCCACTCCCTGGAGGACCAGAAGGAGCGGGGGGAGATCTTAAAGAGATATGTACGTATGCAATTAGCTTCCTTCCTGACCCACATGTTCCCAGATGAGACTGTGCACAGTGTTCCCAGAAAGACAAGTGGCTTTCAGAGGGTAGGCCCTTGGAGCTGCCATGCATCCCCGCTGATGTCTGTAGTTTGATTATCTCCAGGATGCATTTCAGAGCACATTTCCGTATTCTAAGATTCTGCTTTGTGATTTTATCATACAGAGAAATTTTCCATAAAGGAACTAAATCTAAAATAAGGTTATTAGCATCCTGAGAAGCTGGGAGCTAGAGGACATCCAGAGTGATGTTTACAGCTCGGAAAAGTCTCATGTCAGTATGAAATGAAAAGCGGTCAAAAGAGAGACCTTTCATTCTGCCTGAGTGTGGGACTTGGGGTGGGATGAATGCCCGTAAACAGTCACCATCTTCAAATTTTATGTCCTTTAAATAGTCCAGTCTTCCTGTTTCCCAGCAACTTTCCGGGTGCATTTCACATCTTGTAGTTGTCTTGAATCAACAGAGAGGGGAGCTCTTGCTCCACCTTTGTCTCTCGATGGCGGCTTGGAAAAGTAACCGCCTTGGTACTGATGAAGCGAGGGGAAGGCTTTTCCACTTCAAATCACAAAGCTTGTATTGTCCGGTGCTGCCAGGTGTTTAGACGTCTCCTCTAGACACTCAGCCATGAAACCGAGCTCCGACCAACAAAGAATGGCTTTTTTAAAACCATTCCTATTTGCTGACGGACACCCTTTCAGTAACTGAATTTAATAAAGACGCACCTTATCAGGTTGTGCAGCTGACATGAAGTGCCATATGAATGCTCTACAATATTCTTCAAACAGATTCCCAGAATGTGCGCCTCAGCAAATTTAGTCTCACTATCTCCACTGAATCAGCTGTCTGCTAATGCTTGTACAACTCATCCACCAATAGTATTATCATAAACAGTTTAATAGAGGTGACTTAGCAAGGCTAAATAGAGTATATTTTAAAACCACCCAAGAGCCTAAGTTACTGGAAATGAGCTTTCTGCATTAAAACTACCAGAAAGGAATTAATTGTTATATTAACATGAAAATTCATCTGGGCATTAACATTCTGTAGTTACCAGATCACTATTTTAATATTATCCTATGTGTGAAGATTACTGTCTACGTAATTGGAAGTAATCCAGCTATTATTGATTGAATTTTTTGACTGCTGTTGAATAGAGTTTCTTTAGTCAGCTAGTTCCATTTAGAATATGAATATTTTGTTTTCCATCTTTTCCAAAATACCAGCTATTTCAATTAAATTGTAAAATGTTGTTTGGCATCTCAGCTGCTTCTCGGGCTGTATTCTGCTCAATGCATTGAAAGGTGAATCATGTTGAAATGTGCTTTTCTGTAACCCCAAATTTCAGGCACTGCTCTCATTCTCTGTCTCGAGACACACTCGCTGAGAAGTGTTAATGCAGAACAGGGTCTATGCTATATTTGTGTTACCTCACAACAGTAGAAGGACAAAGAGCAATGTCTTGGAGGCCTTAATGTATTTTATACTTTGTGTATTATGAAGTAAATGAATTTTCTGTAATGTCTAATATGCAACTTGTTTTGATGAAACATGTAAAGGAGATCACTGGTCATCATATTATTACTGTGTTTTCCTTTAAAAATGCACATATAGTATGTGAGTGTGAGTGTATGTGTGCGTGTTTAAAGTGGAAGTTAAATTTAAGAATTTGATTTGGTTTAGGTTTGGTGCTGGTCAGGGTAGGAAAAGTAATGAATTGCCTAAGTCTGATATGAAACAGCCCTAGAGAATTTTCGTTGCTCCACACTGAAACCCCACAAATTAAACAGACATTCCAGAGTGAGCCACTGTTTGATCACCACATTCTGAAAAGGTGGCTAATTTCATTTCCCTGTTCTTTTCTTCTTGGGGGGAGACAGAGGGAAGGTCAGTAGGGACGGGTAGTAATGGGTAGTAGTCCAAGAGCTGCTATTTGACCTTTTCAGAATGGGTTTGCTGAACCCCTGCTCCTCCTTGTCACAGTTTAAAAACCAGAGGAGCTAGTTTAGAGAAGAAGTTGTTAGCATTCCATTTTTATTATGACATTTCACAGTCATCTGATTTAATGTCCCTTGACCGGATTGTCCACCGTGAGACGATGGGCTTGAAATGTTATTTAGAGCATTGATAAAAGGTGAGCAGTTCTAAGATGACAGCAAGTCATAAGGCGGGTGGTGTGACATTAATTTTCTCCATAACAGAGATGGAATAAGACGTCATGGTGACAAGCTGTCAATCAGCTCTGGCCCCTCCGAGCATCTCTGTACCATAGGATGGGGTATTGCCTCTCCAGTAATAGAGCTGAACCACGATGCTCCCTCTGACAGCTGCTGCAGCCATAGAGAAAATATATTATACAGCCTTTCATTAAAAAAATAAAGAGGCCTCCTCTCCAGAGCATTTCAATCTCTTCCCATCTATTGAGGGCTGAAAGGATTCACAGCGAATCATGGATTCCTCTGCTATGGAAATGTCTGGCTTCAAAAGCCATCCAGGTTTTGAGGCCTTCTAAAATAACCATAAATAAAAACACAGGAACATCCCTTGATAAAGCTTTTCATAAAATTACAGTTTTAGACGGGTATTTATTTGCTTTTTCTTTGAGTTCTTATTATAATCTGCATGTCACTGGCCTAAACAGTAGAAATTTGCAATAAACTGTCAAATGTCAGGTGACTTGGAGAATGAAACCTTCAAACTATTATCACCCCTGCAGAAGCAGAGCAGAGTCCCGGAACTGAAGTCCCAAAGACAGTGTGAACATGGCTGCTCGGGCGGCTTCCCAGAGCGAATGATTCTGACTCCTAATATTGCTTCGGTCACCATGAAGCTGTTTTAAATTGCTCATGAAAAAAATAAGTACTGGAGCCTTTTGATGAAACCACTCCTCATCACTGGGAGGAATTCCTAGCTGTTTGATACATTGAGTGAGCGCTGAAATGAGCCCCTCCCCAACTTCAACAGTGCTGTAGGAAGCTGTGCCCCCGAAGTCTCAGAACCACAGCCCTGCTCTATTGATAAACCTTTGATTTGTAGGAATTTAAAAAGAGACAAGTGCATTTTTACTAAATCCAGTCAAATGAGCCTTCCAATTAAATTTTTGGTGATAAATAGTTGTTTGTGTCTAGAGATTAAGAACTAATCTTCTGTACCGAACACTGTTTTTACAAAGTCATGCTATGAGATTACACATTTATCTGTATTTCTTTTCACTGTGCCAAGGTCATAGCTTCAGTGTAAATAGTGACTAGCTATCAGGACTGATAAAGTTCGCATTGTAGAAGGTCTGGCTTGTGTGTACCCTCAACTAGTAATACACTAATGGGCCTGCTTTTATTTTAGCAACTTTTGATAGATAATATTTTATGAGAAAGTATATTAAGCTACCTTGTCATGAAACATTTTAAAGATAGTAAGAAATTAAGTGTCTTTGATTTCAATAGAAGCACTGGCCATTAATTGTGTTGGCCTTCCTCCTTGAGTTGTTTCAAGAACTATGCTTAGTAAGGCATCACAGTCAAGTTTTTATTTTATTTTTATTATTATCATCAAACTCCACAATTCTATACATTATAGCAAATACAAATATAAACTTAAGACAGTTTCTCACCCGCCTTTGAATTTATTTTATCAATCTAATTTGCTTTTGAAGATTGTGTCCCTTGAAGTTTTTATAAAATTATGTAAGTCTTTGAATGAACTATTAGCAAAGTCTTTTGATAATGTACACCTTATCTAAGCACTAAGAATAAAATGGTAGAAAAATAATTTGTTAGTGTTGACTTTCTCAACACTCCCTGCCTGAGGAGTGTTATGTAAGCAGTCACGCAGGAGTTAATATTATTCATTATCATCCTCAAACTATCATATTTACAAATGAAATATTTGTGAGGTCCTTTAGTAGAAGACACTGAGAGAAGCCATGGAGACAGCTGCTTTGTAGCCCATTGCTCACCATCTACTGAGTGTTACTTATCATCAGTAACTGTGTTATTTTTACGCCAGAAAATCTCATATTAGTAGTTACATAATGTGTGTACGTGTGTGTGGATGTGCTCACGTGCACATGCCTTTCTATTTACTCCTGATATAGAAAGTAGAATTTGTATTGGAAAAGCACAAATGACCCTTTGACCCCCCTAAGAAAGTATTCTGAGAAAATTTAGTGTTTTCTAAGCATATTTTTGAGGCTTCCTTAGGTTTCTTTTCCTAATGCCCATGTTTGGGTTTTCCAGAGCCCACTGAGGATATTTAACAACATAAAAGACGTGGGATTTCTCCAGGTGAAAGTCATCAGAGCTGAAGGTTTGATGGCTGCTGATGTCACAGGTAGGAGCTGGTGCAATTCCCCTATTATGTACATATGTGCTAGGTATAACATTACTTTTCACCCAGAACATAGGAATGTAAACACAGCAAATGAGTCCATAGTTTTAGTATTGCTGTTTATTCAACATATTAAAAATGAGATGATGGTGTTTATATCATCAAGCTACAGAGTTATTTAATTATTTTGTTTGGAGTCATGACCATTTATTTGTCACTCAGTTCCATAGAGATCTGAAGAATGTTCATACCCACATGTTGAATTGTCTATTTAAAATTGGTTGGCATGCTAAGGCTGAGTTGCCAGTTTCCTGGAAATCACTGTGCTGGAAAAATTGTCTTATTATTTGTGGAAATAAACATGTTATTATAAATGTTAAACAATATTGTTCTGATAAAGTTGCAGACTTACTTGAATAAAATCCTATCCTTTTCTTATCGTTCAGTGGTCAGCAAATCACTGTGTTCTTTAATTCATGCAGCAGAACTGAAAATAGATTAAAAGATAATTCTCTTCTAAATCAAATAGCAGATGTTTGCTCCAAAATAGCAATATTTAAAATTTTCTTATTTGTATATTAGCAAGTGAGTATAATATGTGACAGATACAAAAATGTTAGGGATTTATAATTTCTTTTAAAAGATAATTTTCAACTCATTTGTAACTGAGGACATTTGCATTTTAAAAGTATATGTGAATACTTGAGAATAGTGGGGTTAGGGGTAGCTGTAATCTTTGAGGGTGAGCTTGCTTAGCATTTGGTGATTAAAAAAAACCTGTGAATGGTGAGTTTATGCATTTTCTTTCTTAAGGACTTGGTTCTTGTATAGTTATCAGTGAATCAATCTGTGCACAATAATTTCTTACAGAAAAATTCACATACCTGTTATTTCAAACGCTTAGCTACCTGCCAGTATTCAGGCTGAATGCAGTTGTATAAGTTTGTCTCCTCTTGGCAAGAAGCTGTCATCGACTTTAAAACTTCATGAATATGCAAACAAGGTTAACCTACTTGGCCTGTGTGCCACTATGGAAGTTAAAGTACATGTTCTTTCAAAGTTGGAAAAAATAGAGATATTTCTTTCTTAATGGCTCTATGTAAATCAGTGTGAATAACAATAGCCTTTCTGGTGGAGATTCAATGAGATATAATTTTTATTTGATAAAGTGAACATTAATTTGGGGAATCCTGAATAACTGAATCTCAATTTTTCCCTTCAGTTTTATGGATATAAATCTAATGATTCCTCATGCCATGCTGACCTTATAATCTAATGGGCTCGGGACTGAACAAGAGAGATGTTGAACTATTCAGGGCCAAGTGGATAATTCTGTCTTTGACCTTGTTCACCCTTGGGCCTTCTGTGGTTTTTATGACATTTGTGATGGTGGCAAAAATTACAGGCCATGTGTTTAAGTCATAAATGTCTAAATATACTATTCATTTTAAAAGTAATATTACTAATGAAAATATAAACAATTTAGGTCACAAATAAGCTGTTTCAAATAGAACTTTGAAAAGTTGGCATCTATCTTAATGGTTAATGACAGTGAACCTCTGCGTAAAGTGAAGCAAAAGTAAAAAGACGAGGGGCTGAGTGGGTCATTCCGTCTTCAAGTCTTCAGCTGAGCAAGTGTCTGGGGCTGCGGTTCCCAACTTTCCTAATGTGGAGACCCTTTAATGCACAGTTACATTGCTATGGTGATCCCAATCATAGCATAGCATTATTCTTGTTGCTACTTCATAAGTATAATTTTGCACTGTTATGAATTGTAATGTGAATATTTTTGGAGATAGAAGACTACCAAAAAAGTAGCGACCCACAGATTGAGAATCACTCATCTAGAAGTTTGTGGCTTGGGAAAGGCAATTTTAAAATCATGACTAACTTTCTCATTGCTAAGTCAGACATACTTTCTGGCCTGGGACAAATGAAGCTCTAGTTAGATGATATTTGGCTTCAGAATAACTTCTTTTCTACAGAACTCTAACAAGAAAAACTAATACCTGACCAACTTTCATATATTTTAAGATGTTTTTGATCATTATAACATAAGTCACTTAAACACAATTTTTAATTAATATTCCAACATTAATGAGCTCAGGAGAAAAAATCTTTAAGTCGCCATCAATCTTACTGCAGTTACAAAGAATTTTTTCCTTTCAAAATGTAAAATTTTTCTTTTGTTACAACACATTCATTGAGAAACATTGTAATACTGTATTAACTCTGTGTGAATAAAGAGCAATTGAGACTCTCTTTGAATGAGTGAGTGTAAAGCACAAATTACTTTTTAATGAAACCCTCAATTCTTTTCCTTTCCACACAAAGCCTGTAGCCTCGTTCAGCTGAACACTACTACAGTAGGTCACTTCAGTTAAGCCCCTAATAAACTATTGATAGTCAAGGGTGGTTTTTTCTTCAGTCTCAATAGCCCAGTGTTGGACAGTGCTCTTCAAATCATTAAGGTTAATACAGATTTTTAAAAGAGATTAACTCTGGTGGTTAAGGCTTCAATTTACAACTCCCACACATATGCACACATTGAGCAGAGCACAAGAGTGGATTGAAATTTCAGGCAAATTGTGGACAGCCTTTCACAGCCTGAGAAAGTGGCGCTGCGGTTTGAAGCCTTGGTGCACTAAATTCTTCTACGTGAAAAAGTTTGAGTAAGTAAAAAATACTTTTAAGTACCGCTTACTCCCCTTTGCTACCCAGTGAGAGGTTACTGCTTCCCTGGACAGTCAAAGCAAAGGCTAGAGGCTCTGGTCCTGTTCACTGGCGGAAATTCTTTCCAACTTGAAATCACATGCTCCCTAAAAACTGGACAGATTGTGAGATCAGAAAAGCCAACCAGAGAGTATATGTGTGTGAGTGGGGGAGGGGTGAAATAGTTCAGGTTTTGTCTTTTTCTTGCTCCTGACTATTCTTTGTCCTTAAGTAGGGCCTAATTTCGGCGTGTAACAGAACATTTCAAGTCTTCTGTATTGAGTGAGACTTTCTCAGCAGAGTATTTAAACCTGGGAGATGGGTTCTTTCAAGAAAGAAGAGTGTTCTCTCCTCCTAGGGCCCCCCTCCCACTTTCCTCCGGTTTTTGAGTCATCCTCAGTCCCTCATTCTCTTTTCCCCAGGGCAGTGGAGTTTTTTGTTTCTTTGTTGCTTTCCCCATGAGAAGGAGGTCCTACCCTGTCCAGGGAGACCAGCCTCTCAGAAACGCTGAACAGGGAAAAACAGGGAAGAGCAGCTAGACCTTCCAAAGATGTGCTGCCTTGTCCCGTGTTAAGAGGTCCTATCCCAGGTGAACTGGCTTTGCAAATGAATGTCCCATGTCCTATAGGAAGAGAAGGGGAGAAGAGAAAGGGGGTTTATGGTTAATAGTCAGTGAAATTGTCCCACAAAATGTCTATTTTCCCCCAAAGTAAGTTATGAATAAAGCATGTCAACCTGGTAGTCTAGAAGGCCACTGGTTATTAAAGAGAAATGTTTGGTGCCCCCTTTATTTGCATACACTTTTTCCATGTTGTCCTTTTGGAAAACTGTCGTCATTGTTTAAAAATATTTAAGTAACAAAACAGCAGAAAAAGACAGTTTTGTTTTGTTTTGCTTTTTTTTATCAGCTTCTGTGATGAGAATCTTATTATCTTACAAAATAACAGTGAGCGGCTCAGATTCATTAGCGGAGCTAAATTTAAGCCCCATTTGACAGGCTGCCTAGAAAACATTTTGTTTTGCTGTCTATGGGCTTTAATTAAGATGTGTTCAATTTCAGTCCTCTTCAGTCTAGCCCCCACCCCCAACTTGCTGTGTCACACACCGGCGATCAGACACTTTTAGACGGTCCGGCCCATGACTTTGACCTTCTGCGCAGTCCTGCGTTCCCTGGGGAACCGTTCAACTCATGAGGTCTGATTTCACACTTCCAGGATGCCTCAGCGCTCGTAACAATGACAGGGAGACAAAGCCCTTTAGAGCAGGCCGCATGGGGACTTGTTTAAATTGGAAACCAGAGAGGAGTCAAGGAACAAGGTTAGGGGCTACAGAATAGTGCTTTTAATAAAGAGCTCACAGCTCTGGCTTGGCTCAAAGAGGTCTACCTCTGTACAATTAATTGAGCCATTTATCTGGAGCATCTTAGGCCTCTACTTTCTCACAGAATTGCGTGGTAAATATCAGCTAAGAAGCAAATAAGATATGCATGAAATGAATTTTAACACTTTGATTACTGTGCTTCCAGTCTTCATTAAAAGTAAATTTATTTGTATTTCTGACCTCATTATCAGTAGGTTGCCTGCATTTTTTATTGGTTCCTGTGATTTCCAGCTTGAGTGTGTCATGTCATGAAGGTATATTTTATACAGAGATTGGGATTTATTATTCTTGATATTTCCCCTGAACATTATGGGTCTATTCAAAAAAAGAAAGAAAATGAAAAGGCGGTTGTAGAGAAGAAAGCAATCAGTTCCCGGAAAGCATCACAGGAAGTCAGAGAAATAGCAGCAAGCATCTATATTTATATCTATGTTCCATATAGATGGTCATTAAATACTGTACTGTCTACACAAAATAATTTGTGGGTTCTTTAGCACGTTGTACAAAATGTATGTAGTCGCTGCATCAAATGCTTTTCAAAATCTTGTTGTCTTCTTGAAAGGCATGGTGAAGTTTTCTTCTATGGGGTGGTAGCAGTCTGAAGTGCAGTGTGTACTTGTAGTTGCCATTAATATATGTAATAATGCTGAGAGTATCCAACACGCATAGGCTTACATTTTATGATCACTAGTTAAAATCTATGACGGCAGAAGAGAAAATATGCAACCTTTAAAACGGGCATCGTTCCACTGAATGGACTGGATAAAATAATTTAGACTAGACTGGAGTGAAATAATTACAGCCAAAGAAGCTACATTAAGGAACTCCCAATATTTACTATCTTAAGATTATACTTTTTAAAACAAAAAATAAATATTATCAAAAATTAAACTTTTCCCAGAGTGTGTTTT